ACTTGACTTTCTAGCCATTTTAGGTCGGGAATTTTTTGGAGTTCTATCTGGAATTGATTTCGGCTTGCTTTGAACTTTGCCGTACTTTATGCTCAAAAATTGAAAACTCATCCCACTTTTGCGAGTGTTTCCCTCATTTCGCTGTTCATCTCATTGAGGGTTGTCTGCACGAATTGGGCTTTCAAATAAATGATCCGGTTTCGAAGGAAATTCTAAAAAACAGCTTTTTTTTTGAAAGAATGTTTGCCTAAGCAATTGAATAAAACCTCCTCACCTCAAGCATTTGTATCGATGTCTCGAGAAGCTCGACCCCTGCCTCGCCAATCTCTTCTCGTACCCTTCCCCTTCTTTTCATTTCAAGAGCTTCGTCAAGCTTGGAAACCTTAAAGATACTGTAAGATCTTATGCACTTTCTAAAAGACATTTAGAAAAACCGTAGTGAAGTTTACATTAGACAGCTTCAAGACGGGGTTCTTGGGAGGTCCGGAAGGCTAACTTCTCACAGACAACAGACTTGCACTAGTAACAGACAACAATACTTTGTACGTCTTGTACTTGTATTTAGCACAGTGCTGATTCACAATATTATATAGCATAGTACTAATAATGTACTACTTAACAATGATATAGTGTCCAGAAATGTCTTTTCTGTTATGCGATCCCTTCTTGTCACTTTCAAACAGCTGAAATTCGGTCTTTACGGTCCAAAAGGTCAAAATTAAAAATTAAAATTGATTTGGTCTAAACTTTTTCCGATCATTATTTGTCTTTTTTTGTTCATAGTAAAGCATAGGAACTGGTTTTGAATATATTAGGTTGTCTGGAAATAAATGAGCGTTTTGTATTGTTTATTATTTGGATACATCTTTCTCAATAAAGTATGCTCTGTACCTTGTAATGTTATATACCATTAGAAAGCTGAGTTCGCGCTCTCTTTAACCATGCTTTTAAATTTTGTTAAAAATAAAATTTTTTGCGAATTTTAAGCTTCGCCGTTTTAGATGTCCAAAACTAAATTTCGCCAGATTTTCTTTTATGAGTTCAAACTCGGTCGCAATGCAGCTGAAACGGCTCGTAACATTAACAAAGTTTGGGGGCCAAGGCAGTGTCGGCGAGTCAACAGTGCGAACTTGGTTCCGAAAATTCCGAGGTGGTGATTTTGATCTCGAAGATAAAGAAGGCCGTGACCTTCCTGTTGAACTCGATGACGACGAAATGAAGACCCTGGTGGAAGCAAATCCACGTTCAACTATTCGAAAGCTTGAGGAGGAGCTTGGCGTGGGCAAGACGACCATTTCTGACCACTTGAAACGGATTGGAAAGTCAAAACGCTCGATAAATGGGTGCCGTACGAATTGAATAAAAATCAAAAAAAATCGTCGTTTTCGTGTCGTCTGCTCTTCTTTAGCGCAACAAAAACGACTCATTTCTCGACCTGGTCGTAACGTGCGATGAAAGTGGGTCCTCTACGACAACCGGTGACGTTCCGCTCAGTGGTTGGACGCTGGATAGGCTCCACAACACTTTCCAAAGCCAAATTTGCACCAAAAGAAGGTTGTGGTTTGTGGTTTGGTGGTCCGCAGTCGGTCACATCCATCACAGCTTTCTGAATCCGGGCGAAACGACTATGGCGAAGAAGTACTGCCAACAAATCGACGAAATGCACCAGAAATTGCGGCGAATGTCCCCGACATTGGTCAACAGAAAAGGTCCAATTCTTCTCCACGACAACGCTCGCCCGCACCTCGCACTACCAATCCTGCAAAATCTGAACGAACTGAGCTACGAAACTTTGCCTCACCCGTCATATTCGCCGGAGCTTTCGCCTACCGATTACCACTTTTTCAAGCACCTCGACAACTTTCTCCGGGAGAAATGCTTCAAAACTCAGGACGATGCCAAAAACGCCTTCTCCGACTTTATCGCCACCAGAAGCCCGGACTTCTATGCTACCGGCATAAATAAACTTGTTTCTCGTTGGCAAAAATGCGTTTATTGCAGTGTTTCTTATTTCCATTAATTAAGTTTTGTTTGGATCAAGTTATGGTATTTTAAATATTCAAGTTAAAAACGCTCATTTATTTCCGGACAACCTAATATTATTGATTCTGAACTGTAAAGTTCAATTTAGCCGAATTCCCCAACCTTTTGTATATTCGTTCTCGATTTTGCGCAAAATTCGTCGCTTTTCCTCCGGATTTCCTTATCATTTTCGACGTTTTTGAAGTCAAGCCGCTTTTCGGATAAAATTTCCTCAAAAAAACGAAATTTTACAGATTTACAAAAATGTCAAACCTGTATCTGTGACTCTAAAAGATTCTTGGCTTCAGGAATATTCCCAGCTTTCAATAGCTCGTTTAAACGCTGATCGATCTCTTTCCGAGCCATCGTTTCCGCGATTTGCAACGTTTCTGGAGAGCTGTTCTGAAAACGAAAACATTTTTCCTTCAGATTATAGATCAATTTATTTCTAAGCTTGCTTAGTATCTAGATAATGTTGTCTTATCCAACCCACTTTCAAAGCTTTTCGAAAGATTTCGCTGCACTTGTTCACCGCCACGGCCACCGTTGCTTCTTTGCTCAGCTAAAATTTCCTCGATGTACTTTGTGCTAAAAAGTTGTAAACGCACGCTTTCTGGTGTATTGCAAGACTTGTTTTAGTGTGCTTTGTGTTAAAGTTTCTAAATGCAAACCTTCTAGCGCACCGAACTCCTCATTTTTTACACAACAGCGAGTTCCCCAGACTCCTCAGAAAAATGAGGAATCGAGTGCACCAGAAAGAATGCGTTTAGTCATTTTTGAGCACAAAGTATATTCATAACCTACTGTAACTTTCAAGTACTGTAATGATTATTTAGCTTCATCCAAAAACTCACCACCGCAGTCGTTTTTAACTCGGGCGCCTCGTATTGAAGATAGTCGACAATTTTCTGAAAATCCCAAATTTTCAAAAATTATCTACCAACCTGAGCCAAATCGATTTTGTCTTCAATTTCTTTTCCCTGAAAATTCTTGCATTTTTCGATCACCGAGTACTTGACTCGGGCTAAGCAGCTGAGCAAGGGAAAATCTGAAATTTCGAGTTTCAACTAGACTAGAAAATTCCAACCCGAACCTAATTTCACCTTCGTTTTCTCAGTCGTGATCAATTGTTCTGAAATTTTGTTAAAAAATAGAAATTATCATTCTCTCCTTGTAGACAGAATTTGCCAGGAACTGAGAAAACGAAGGTGGAGTTAGGTTCGAGTTGGAATTTTCCTATGTCTAGTTTTAATCTTAGTACTTCAATCAGATAATTGTTAAATTGTCAATTGTCAATTCAAATCCCACCTTGTTCCTGAACTTCTAAAAGTTGATTCGCAAAACGAACATTATCTGAAGCTCTCGGTGTGCAGAAACACTCAATTTTGGGGAAATGGCGACGAAGAGACGAAGATATTTCTCGTAAATCCGACGAATTCTCGTTTTGAGCCTAATGAATACTCCTATAGTAAGCAATTTCCTAAAAGCCCCAAAGCTACCACAAAACTACTGTTTGATCAATCTAAAAACTCACCCAAACACGCTCCAAAAACGTTCCCTCTTGATCCCAATCCGGAGTGTCTCTGACTACGAAAATCAAAGACTAAAATATACTTTCAATTTTGAAGACTATGCTTATTTTAAAAATTACAAACCTCTGCCAGTTTCCCGTCACGAAAAGCCGCCGATATCTCAGCGAACATATGAATGTCGAGAAGATCGTTGCCACCAAGATTTCCCATCAAATTTACGAGCTAAAGTCGTAAAGTTCTTCAGATATCGTTTAGATAATCTTAAACACAATTGCTTTCGACTTTACTGATCTGAGAGATAAAGTTTAATTTTTTTTAATTGTCAGTGAGACTAGCCGAAAACGCTCGTTTTTCGGCGTTTTTCACTGGCGACGCACTTTCTTGTTTCAAATGACTAAAACTACTGTAGCCCATGTTAAGCTCCGCCCCTTTTTAAAAATGGACCTAAAAGTTAAATTCTTCATGGCTGAAAACCCCTAGGAGCCATGACAGACAGACAGACGGACGGATAAACAGGCAGACAGACGAACAGACAGACAAACGCCCCTCCTGCTTTATATATGTTACGTCCGAATCCGATCTGGACGTCAGGATCTGATCCGGATCCGGCCGTTGATTATCTTGTGGTCGGTTTCGGACGTCCTAATCCGATCAAAATCCGATAAATGCCAATTGATCCCGCTTGATTCATCGAATTTTTTATAATTTTTCAACTATGATAGTTTCACCCACGCAAAATTTAAGTTAAGAAATTTAAGTAATATAGTTTGTGAGTTTCCAATAAATTTTTAAAAATATTGCATGTCTTCGCCCATGTTTGCTTAAAAAATGTGCATTCCACCCTGAACCACCGCGTTTGTCAAAAATTGGCCGTTTTTTTTAAAATTGTTGCTCATTTTCTTGGTAGACATGTAGTAGCTGATATTTATAATTAAACTTCAATGTTTTTTTTTTTTAGGTCACTGGTCTTTAGAATGATCGCTTTTAACGATCAATTCGAGAAATTCGTACAAGAGCGACACAGTCGAGCTTTCCCGTCTAATGCAGGTTATGTGAAGATAGTCGAAACACTTCAATCAACATCAGTAAATTGGAAATTAACTGAAGAACGAAATCTTCACCGGCGTTTCTCTCTATTCAGAAAACGGGACAATAATTCTTCTGCACCATGGTGATGGAGCCAAGAAAAACGACGGGAAGAAAGTCATCAAGCGTGAGGACCTCTATGAATTGCTTCGACAAAAACATTCAACACTTAGACACGCTGGGATCTGTTTAATGTGGAAAGCCCTCCAAAATTCTTATGGGATATCGAAAAAAGTACTGAAGATTTTCGTGGATCAATGCGAGGAATGTAAATTGAAGAAGAAGCTTCCAAGAAAGGAATAGTTGTGAAGCCAATCATTTCTAACCACAAATCAGCGGTGTCAAGTTGATTTGATCGACATGCAAAGTGCTCCAGATGACGACTACAAGTTAATTTTCGTTTACCAGGTAGATTTTTTTTGGTTTTTCAAGTTTATCCTTCTTTATTTATGTTAATACTTCTTATTTTAGGATCACCTCACAAAATTCGTCTCGTTGGGGGCTCTGAAGACAAAAACGGCAAAAGAAGTAGTCGACAACATCGTATCGATTTTTGGAACCTTTGGTGCTCCCCAAATTCTTCAGACAGGTAAGCTATTTTAAGAAAATAAATTGGAATTTTTCATAAAATGTATTGCATTTTTGCATTTTTTTGGTGGGGCTATAGGAGGAGGAGGGGGGGGGGTGAGTAAAATACACCTTTTTTTATTTTTGCTTTTAGACAATGGCAGAGAGTTTGCAAATAAACTCTTGGAAGAAGCCGTCGCTCAATGGCCTGGTCGCAAGAATCCTTCACGGGAAACCGCGCCATTCGCAGTCACAAAGAAGTGTAGAACGAGCAAACGCGGATATCGAGGTTCGTTTGGCTGCTCATAAAAATACTTGTGATCGTTTAGGATATCTTGAGCGTTCATCAAAGAGAAACAAAAACTACCGGGTGGGCCCGATTTTTGCCCCTGATTCAATATCGTAAAAACATCAGGTAACTTTAGTTTTTTTGGTAATTTACATTTTGTCGATAGATTTCATTCCGGTATTGGACGTAGCACATATGTTGCAATGTTTGGACGAGGCTACAGCGATTACTAAGGAAGAAGTAAGGTTTGAAATATTTGTAGGTCTGGAATATTTGAAGTAAACTGTGTGGTTTAGGTTGTCAGACGTTTCGTCAGACGACGACGAAATCCAGCAAACAAGTGTCTACAAGGAGGAGGAGGAGGAGGAGAAAACGCTTCAGGTTAATTTAAATCTAGATTTTTTTTATTAGCAACTTTAGGAAGATAATTCTACTCGTTACGCCGATCTACGACCTGTAAGCTTCATGGGTTCAATTGAGAGTGGCGTTGAGGTATAAATTACGTTTTAAATACATAAAAATAACGTTATGGTTTAGAAATTTCCTGAATTCGCAAATCAGGGGAATAATGACGCCGACTTTCAACTTGGGATTGTTGGCCCAGTGCTTGGTTTGCTTTTTAAAATATTTACTAAACGCTATTTGGCTTTAGGTGTTCAAAAAGATGAGGGGCAAGCGGAAATCGATTGTCTACACGATTCGATTATGATGGAAAGACATGGAGCCCATTCTGCTCAAAAGAATCAGGCACGAAAGATGCTTCACGCCAGTGAACAAAGGTACTTTTGCGTTTTCAATGTTTTCATTATGATTACTTTTAGATTTGCACCAATTGATGTTGGACAAAATGTTTTCATGCCAATTCCTTGTATCGATCGACCCAAGATTGGACCACGAAATTTGAAGGGAGTCGCCACAGGTACTTTAAATTTATTTCTAAATGTAAAAAGAAATTCTAGCTGTAACCGATGGTTTTTACTCAATCGGGACACAAAATGTGCGTCTTCGGCAAACATTCACTAGGAATCAACTGACTCCATATGGAGCTGAATTCTTCTCGATCAATTCAATTACGGACGGGGAGACATCGTTGAGAACTGCTGTTGGGGCAGCATCGATCTCTGGGAGCCAAGGTAAGCACATTTATTTGCACTTATAATCTTTCGTTTTTCTTTTTACAAATTCAAATGTTTTTGCCTCAGCTAAAATATTATAATTTTAGGTCACACCCATTGCTTGTGCCTGAGCGGATGTACGACAAATTGATGTGCTTGTTGAAAGAAAAGTCTACTTTGCAACTCGAGATGTCACCATGCAAGAAGTTGGACTAACAAGTTATATTTTTGTTTCTTGTTTTGGCTCTTTTCAATTTCAGAATGACGCTTTTAGTAGCATGCATTATGTGCGTAGTAAAAAGAGCTCTTGTTTAAGTTGATTGTTATTTGACTTTGTTTTTCATTTAGTTTGTTTGTTGTAGCTTGAAATTTAGACAGTTGCTAACTAATTTGATTAATGTTGTTAATGGTTGTATTGCGGATAAAAATGGGTTTATGTCAATCAATCTTTTTAAAATACTAGTTTTTGATAAAGGCTAACCAGTTGTGCAACAATTGTGTAAGTGACTTACAAGAGGTTCGTCTATTAGAGGAATACCCCTTCAATCATTATGTTTAATAAATTTGCTCAATTAGCATTAAAAATTGGTTAATTGGCATTTATCGGATTGTGGTCGGATTAGGACGTCCAAAACCGATCACAAGATAATCAATGGCCGGATTCGGACCTGACATATATAGATAGTCTGCTTGTCAAAAGTTTAACCTGTATGTCTGAGAAAAGAAGTGAAAAGCCGGCGATCCATGCCGAGATTGTTCTCTCTGTTTGCACGTCGAAAGTGCCCTGAGTGTCGAGGAAAAAGACGGCATGCTGAAAGCTTTTTGACTTTAAAGGGCTTAGGTTTACGGTAACGGCTTTATAATTTTTGTTTGCTTGTCAAACCTGATTGTCACAGTAATTTCTCAGTACCAACCGTTTCATTGATGAAAATCGGCCTCGTGAAGATGTGGATTCCCTCGGTGAAACGCTGAAGACCCGATTGGAAAGCACCACTGCAATAAAGGGATAAAGAACTAATTTAGCTTTTACCTATAATCTTATTTGCTAAACTTACTGTATTTTGTTGCCATCGACTCCATTTGTGAGCACGGACATAAGAAAACTCTTCCCCGATCTCGATGGGCCCATCACACTGACGAAAGTAATCTAAAAGTCAAATTTAATGTTTGTGACAAAGCATTTGATTAGCTAGTGCCATGTACAATGTATTATTTTATATATGATGATCTAATTTTTCAATTGACCCACCTTTACCCCTCGATATTTCTCATTGGCAAACGTTTCTCGAGCTACTGTCTCGTGGAAGTTGATCCGATTCTCATCAAAGGTCACCAACGGGATCAACGAGTTTTCCTAGATTGAATCAAAAGTTGAGTAACAATTTTATCATAGATAACGATCATTACTACTTCCTTACTGATCTCTTGGCTCTTGGCTGTAGTCAGGGTTTTTCCTAGATCCAAGTTTTGAGGTTAAACTGAAGCAAGTTTAAGCCAAGTCAAGGCTAGACCGATTAGAGAAAGTTAAAGCTAATAGGTCAACCTAAAGCTGGATAGATCGAGATTGAACTTTTTAATTTTGAGCCGATATGCCTGGTGACCTGGCAGTCCTGGCTGACTTTTGAAACAAGCCTGATTACAGATGTCAAAATCGAAATAGCCTATGGTAAGGCTAAATTTGTAAAAACTAATAAAACTGCTATTTATGAACTAATATAGAGTTGTAAAAGCAAGAATTCAAATTCAAACTCCAACCTCGTCAACTCCTCGCCTAATCACTTCATCGTCGACCATTTCTCTTCCAATAAAACTGAAAAAAATGTTTTACAAAGTTTTACAAGTTAAAAATGTTTACAAAAAATGTTATCTTGAAAAAGTCAAAAAACTTTCGGTGTTTATGATCGAAAAAAGTTTCGCAAGATCGGCTTTGGGCGGAATTTTGTGACAGAAGAAAATTGAGAACAAAAAAAGATTTCGAAAAAACAAATGGGCTAGTTTTAAACCTTGAAGCTTTAACTTTTCTAAATTCTAATTAATTTAGCAATCATTTATCTAAATTCTTATTAATTTAACGTGCCAGATGGCATGCGTTTATGGACTTTAAAGTTTAAAGTTTAAAATCGAAAGCTTCTATGGAAAGAGAAGCGGTGGGACTGGCCTAGTTTACTCCCTCTCGAGCAAGGAAAACCAAGTGCGCTGTAGCGTAATGGTTAGCGTATCGGTTAGCGTAATGGTTAGCGTATTATTTATCGCCCTCCTAATGTAAATTTAGCAGACACATCTTCTCTTTTTAACCACCGACGTTTTTAAATTCTGCTGAGTTTTTAGGTGATTTGTGACTGTCCAGACGACATAATCGGTCTGCAAAGGTTGCCGCCTCTCCCGGACGCTGACCACCACTCAATCAGATTCAAAATTGGTTCAACCTGTTTTACTCCGAAGAAAAGGGATCACGTCTGTTTGCATTTTGATTTTGATTATGACCAAGCGGCGGTGTGCATACTAGACTCTCTAAATCGATCAGGTTTTTGTGCCTTCTCAAATTCTATTGATAAAGATTATGACAAAGACAAAGATTGCGCTAATCTCCTAAAATCGATGGAATTAGCTTGTGGTCATTCTCGTTTAATGACCCGGCCGCACTTCTTGAGAGCTAAAAGTAGATTAGCCCATTTTTTTTCGTCGTTCCTATTTTTTTAAAACGCTTAAACGACCCTCTAGTTAGTAAGGAACCGAATAAGCTGTTCAAATATTATCCTAAATTTGAGGAAAATAATGAAAGAAGTCCCATTAAATCGAAAAACGGGAAGTCTTTTTGCACATATATTAATTCTAAAACTAAGGCCCTAAACCAAGCTTCAAATTCCTTCCTTGATCCTTCCAATCCTAGTGAAGCCTTTTTAGACCCCAACAAAAATTGTTCTTGAGTTTCCTAAATTCTTACACAGCATTTCACAATCACCAGAAACCTAAAGAACCCTTTCCGTCTTTTAAATATGCTTTCCTTGTTTGGTCTCCCCGTTCACAAGTCTCCATTGAACGTTTGGAGAAAATTCAGAGGAGATTCACAAAAATCGCTTTATGGAGAATTAACTATTATAAATATTCTAGTCTGATTTATGAGGATAGACTTGCTCTTTTTGAACTAAAAACTTTACAACATTGTTGCGTTGTCATTGTTCTAGTTGAAACTTTCAAAATGCTGCGTTGCAAACAGATTAGCTCTTTTTTGTTGACTTTTTTAATTTTAACCCGAGATCAGAGTCCAGAAGTGGTTCAATCATTTTGCTGACTCCTTTTGTGTCTAATGCTTCTTTATAAATTTTTGGCAAAAATGGCTTTTATTCCACTTTTCGACTTTAGACCTTTGGGAAAAATTATGCGAAAGTTTAAAGCAGAACAAAACAGAAAAAGATTAAGCAAGAGAATTTTTTTTGCAAATCTCCGGTTTTTCATTGTTTTTTTGGCTAAAAACCCTAAAATTTGTTTGAAATTTGAAAAATTATCTTTTTTCTTTATTTTCTTGCGCAAATTTTCATTGTTTTATGGTAAACAAACATGATGACTCTATTGATAAGGTTTTTAGAAAGTTTTTGAACAATTTTTATTGATATTTTGATAAGCTAGTTGGAGTTTAGCCCTTGTAGAGTTTGAAAATGAAGAGAGGAGCAAAATCCAAAGTGATAACTGGTTCAATTACTGAAACTTGGCTAGATTTTTCTATGTCTTCTTCTATTTTACCTTAAAATAGTTTCCCAGTTAGATCCTTCGTTTTTACCTGGAGTTAATTCCCTCTCGAGTAAGGGAGACAAAGTGCATTGTGGTGTAATGGCTAGTTGCCTGGTAAGCGAAAAGTCGCGGGTTCGAGTCCCGGCGGCGCACATTGGATGGATCTCCGTGGTCGCCATTTCGAACTAGGGCAGATCAAAGACTCATGCGCCGCCGAGACTCGAACCGGCGACCTTTCGTTTATCGCGCAACTGTCCTAACCGTCACACCACAACGCATTGGATCTCCGTTACTCGAGAGGGAGTTAACTTTGCTTCTCTGTGCTTCAAGCTTCTCTCACGCATAATCTTGCCTCAAATAAAAACTGACTTCATTTCTCTCAAATTTCAGAGAATTTTTTCGAGAACAACATCAACCATGACGAGTCCCGAGGTAAAAAGTGCTGGCTTTAACGAAAGAATCAAACTTTTTAGATAGAATCTAGACTTAAAAAGCTATATAAACTATTTTTTTTTCTTTTTTCCTATTTAATACCAAATTTCAGCCACAATCAACCACCGAGGAGGCTGTCGATGAGCTCTACAACCTCTACTTGAACAACGTCTCGGTGAGTAATTATTCTTCAATATAATTGTTCTCTACTTTGATCCTCAATTAGTACACCAGAACATAAATGTTTAAAAGTGAGCGCAAAGTATGCCCAAAGAATGACAATCACAACAGTTTTTAACACATTCACGACGATAAGACTCATCAGTACTAATGATGTACTAATAATGAAAAATAAGCACATAAAGCTAAACCGCTAAACGAATTATTCTCAAATTCTTCGTTGTAGATTTAACTTTTTATCTATCTTTTTAGCTATTTTTTTATTTTGTCATTAAAATACAGTGGTCCACAAAAGTAATGCCCCATTGCCATCCAACAGTATGTTTTGTAAGGAAATCTTGCAAAATCGACATTTCAGAAAAAGAATAGGGTATTTTTACCGACCCATAAGACTCGACTTTTCAAGAATATAAGATTTATCCGTATACATTACATACAAATTAAATTATAAAACAAAAATAATAAGCTACTTGAAAATTAGCTCCACAAAAGTAATGCCCAATTTGCAAAGAATTAACACAATTTTTAAAAATCAATACTTGTTTGGTCCTCCTTTTGCTTTTATTACTTCATTGAGTCGATTCGGCATGGAATCCACGAGATTCTTCAAAAGACTTTGGGGGATGGTGGCCCAGAGACGTTGAATGTGAACCCATAAGGCAGCCTTCGAATCGAACTTCTTTCCCTTGAGTCGTGACTTCACAAATGACCAGAGATGCTCGATAACATTGATATCCGGTGAGTAGGGAGGCGGATTGATCAATTTGACTCGACTTGCCGCAAACCAGCCCGGAAGTCGTGCTCGTG